TTGCAGGGAAGGCAGAGGCACATCTGGCCCAGAGGAGGATGCTCCATGGTCACTGATGCTTTAGCTTTGCTGGGAGAGCAGGTTTGCCCAGGCTGAGGGGTCCTGTTGAGCACAGTAGCAGCACCCAGCTCATCTGGGGAATTGCAGCTCCCTACAGCAAAGGAATCTGCAGTCCAGCTGCCTCAAACCCCAGCCTCCCTGTCCTACACTGCAAGTCCCATCTCCTGCCTTTCCTTGGAGAAACCTTCCCTGAGCCCCCACTGTGCACAGCCAGGGGGAGTGGCTGCAATGGCAGGAAGAGATTCTGGAGCACTTTTCACACCATGTCACAGTTCCTCAAAGTCCTTACTGCTGTTGCTCTTGCTGTCACCTCCTGCCAGCTTTTCCCTGAAACCCTGCGGTGCCCACAAATGGGAATTGGTTTATGGCCTGGCTCAGTGTTGGTGACTCCTGACCACCGTGTTTGCTCGTTTCCATTCAGCTCCGCTCAAGGATCGATGACAGATTTTCAGTGACAGAGTTTCAGTGGCTCATGTGGGATGGAGATCGATGTTGGCTTCAAGGATGGTGCTTGATGCAAGTGCTTTCCCACAGGGATGCTGGGGCTGGGGGCCTTTCCCTGCCCAGTGTCACCCACTGCTGGGGCAGAGTTGGATAAAACCTTCAACAGCCCCCAGCCTTCACGTTCACCTCCTCCTTTCACCTTCCCCAGTGAATACCAAGGTCCCAATTCAACAGTTCGTGCAGCGAACCAACACACCCCGTATCCTCCCAGACTTCTCCACATTCCACCATCCTCATCTCCTGGCTACCTGAGAGCACTGCCCCGAGACCACATCCCCTTGGGAAATGCCAGCTCAGCCATAACCCCCAGCCGGGCAGAGCAGAGCATCCCGGCGTGGGGGTGCCGTCCTTCCCCGTGCCCGTCGGTGCTGAGCCCACCCCGCACCAGCCGCCGGGTGTTCTCCCCGCTCTGACAGCTGTACGGAAATTGGAAGGCGACGCTGACATGTGTCAACAATAACCAGTGAACAAGCGCCAGCGGCGGCAGCGGCTGTCCCCAGCACCTCGAGGAGGCTGGCCACTCTTGGCTGAAATCACGGCACGTTGCGGCTGGAAGCGGGAGTATTGTTTCAATTATTTCCATTATATAAAGTCAGGCCATTTAATATATTCTGCCTCAAAGGGGCTCAACTAAAGAGATAAAATAAACACTGGAAATCTGCTTTGCTGACATGGACCAGGAATTCAGTTTCGACACTAAGCCTTCCCTCCCACCTCAGTGCTTGTCTTCCCTTTCCTCCTGGCTCTCTCTCCTACTCTTGCTGCCCCTTGGCCTTCAGTGCCACTTGATGCCAGTTCCCTCTTTGGGCTTTGCTCCTGTTTTGGCAGCTGGAGCACCCGAAGGCTGTGCAGCCACACTGGCGTCCAGGACTGGAGCAAGCCAGAGGAGCCAAGAAAAGAGATGGAGCTCCAGAGCTCACTCTGGGATGAAGGATGTGATTTATGGCAAATCTTAAGCCTCTTGGGATGCCACATTCCCTGAGACCAGCAGGAATGGCAGGTGGCACAAACCCAGGAATGGCTGAAGTGTGGCATGAGGAGGAGGAGGAGAAGGAAAAGGAGGAAGAGGAGGAGGAAGGGAGAGCAAATGTGCCATGAACATGCTGCGGGCTGCACTTGGCAATACCAGCACTAAAATCAGCCACCTTCCTTCTCACCTGGGAGAGCTGACGGCACCCCAACATTGAAGGACCTCACTGGCCCTGTGCTGGTATGGGAGGTGGTGAGTTGGGCTGCCAAGAGGCTGGAGTTGCTCCCAGCAGCTCTGAGCAGACAGGAGTTGCTTCCCATTAATGCTTCCCACAGCATCAGCCTCCCCAGAGCACTCCTCCCTGGCAGGGCTGTGCTAGTCCAGGTATTCCCAACATGTTGGCATGTGGGAAGGAGCACCGGCTGCACCAGCAGTAAATCTGATACTCGGCCTTTCCCAGCACATTTCCCTCTCCTGCAGTGGGGTCAGGGGCAGTGCCACCCCCAGGGGCCCGGGTGATGGAGGGAGCCGTGTCACGGGATGCCAGTGAGGGCTGTGGTGCGGCGTGAGGTGGAGCTGGCTTTTCTTAAGAGCAGGGAAAGGGCCTCTGCCGAACTGGCGCGAGAGCAGCTGTGACTTTCCATTCCTGTGGGAAGTGGGCTGCCACCGTCCAAGCATCTGGGCTTGTTATGATGGGAGAGGAATGCCAAGTATTTTTCTTCCTTATCCACTACCATCCGCTCAAACCCTCCCCTGATCAAACCCACATTCATCGCCCGGGATGCACTGGGGAAGATCCCTCCCAGCCTCGTGGCTGCTGGGAGTTCATGGCACCTGTGGAGAAAACCCTGCCTTCATCCAGGGGCTGCCTCCATCCCCCTGCCCCTTCCTGTCTCCTGCTGCTAGCCAGCTCCAGACTTTTAATTTTCGCTTTACTACCTTTCCTGAGAGCATCCCTGTGCCTGCATCCCTGTGCCACCCCTCTGTGACTGCATCCCTGCTGACCTGTGGGCCCGGCGGGACCACACTGTCCCCTCAGAGCCCTGAGCATCCCGAAATCAGCCACTGGGATGGTGCCACGGGCGTGTGCCCTGGGGCGCCTGCCGTGCCGGGAAGCAGGCGGTGCAGCTTTGGAAGGTCACCAAGATTTTTCCGAAGATGAAAGTGTGCTCAAGTGTCAAACAAACTTTCCAAATTATCTTTCTGGACACTTTCTCCCTTCTGCTTTGGAAGGCGGAGGAGGAACATTTCATTCCCTCTGTGCTGGCGTGGAGCGGGGCTGCGTGAGGAGCTGGGAGCTGCCAGCGGCACCCGCGGCTCAGCCTCGCTTCTCCCCGACATCATCCCTGAGTCACCGCGGGGGCTGCCCTGGCATCATCGGCTGGGCTTCCCCCTCCCGCAGCCCCCCAAACCCCTCCCAGCACAACAGAGGGCTGCCAAGTGCCCAGCTAAACAGCAGACACCACCTCTCCTCCCATCGACATTAGGATGTGACATAAATAGACAAATTAAGGAAAACGTGTGGATTTTTCTCTCTCTCAGGGATACCTGGCGCACAGCAGCAGGGGCATGGGGGCAGCGGTTATGCCGCCCTTGGCAAATCCCCCTGATCCCAAACAGCTGGGATGGGCTGAGCAATGGCCAGTGGTGCCCCCAGGATCCAGCACTAATAAGAGCTGTCTAATTAGCATGTCCTCCTGTGACGGGTCACCCTGGCAAGGCTTGCTCCCACATCCGCTCACCCATGCCAGCAGCCAGAGAGCGTGACCTGGAATGAGGTGCTTCCCTGGCCCTTGCCCAGTGTTTGCCTTCCAGATCCGGACAAGGAAATTCCCTATGGGCTCCAGGGCAGCTGTGCTGGCACCCAACAGGACTCGTGGAAGCTCCTTGCCCTGCAGCACCCATGTCTCATCCTGGTCACTGCCATCCACACCAATGCAGCTGCCTGCAGCCAGGGTTTGGAGACACTCAGATATCCACAATGCCATTGCCATGTCCCTATTCTTCTGTGCTGGGATGGCAGCAGCATCCCCATGTCCACATGGGCCCCAGCCCTTGCAAACTCCTGATGGTGATGCCATGCTGCAGGTTTGGTTGTTTATGGAAATTTCATCTGAGCCAGATGCTGCAATTTATGCATTTTATGTGTAATTTTTCAATTTATTTCATAATTAAAAAAAAAAAATCTAAAGTGATCCCAACCATTATTACTCCTGGTTTCCTCAGTTATTACTCCTGGTTTCCTACAGTGAGGCCAAAGGGGTCTGAAATGGCTCCTTTGTTGTCTGATCATTAACCCTTCAGGAATGAAATGCAGCAGTGCCGGATGGGAGAGGTGGGGAGAGAGGCTCAGAGGGGCTGGGGGAGAGAAGGGAAACAGGAGGGAGAAATTTGAGGGGTAGAGAGAGGAGTAACCCAAATGTATTGTCCCCAGGCATGGCTGGACACCCCAGGACACTGATGGACACATCCACTGCAGCCTGTGGGTGGTTCACTCTGCTGCAATGAGCTTGCTGGTCCTCAGAAACCCCAGTCCATTTGTCCCTCCCAGGCAATGCAGACCCAAAACATCCCAGGTGGAAAGGAGCCCTGCAGCTCCTTGGCGTGTGGGATGAGCAGGTAGATGATGATCTTCCCCCAGGGTGCTCAGAGGGGTCCTGTGGGTCCAGAAAGTCTCTCTGTGCCCCCTCTGAGGGCAGGAGAGGGGCACCGTGTGCTGGTTTGCACGTGGTGATGACAGGAGGGAATGTTCTCTCACTGAGGCTCTCACTGGTGGCCGGTGGCCTTGGGGCCCTGGCTGGAGGTCACCAGGCTGCTCCGGGGTGTGGCTCCTGGCACGGGGTTGGGACAACGGGATGAACACGTGGGGGTCTCAGGATGGGGACCTGTGCCTGTGGGTCACCTCGGGTACCTGGCTAGTGAGGTGTCCTCCTCCTGTCCTGCACCCCACTTCAAACACAGCCCCTAGGGTGGGTTTTGGGGAGCACGGCATGGGACAAGGGGTGTGGACAGCCGCATGGGAGCCCAGAACAACGCAGCGAGCTCGTCTTGGCTTGGAACAGCTTGGCACAGCTCAGCTCGGCTCAGCTTCGCTCCCGCAGCTCGGAGGGAGGTGAGCTGAGAAGCGCTCGGAAAATCAGAGTCAGCTGCAATGCTGGGGACAGCGGGGCAGACCCGCAGCCGCCACCGGAGCTGCCGGAGACCCACGACGGATGAACCGGGGGGGGATGAACCGGGGGGGATGAACCGGGGGGATGAACCGGGGGGATGAACCGGGGGGGGATGAACCGGGGGGATGAACCGGGGAGGATAAACCGGGGGGATGAACCGGGGGGGCTGATCCGGGGGGGATGAACCGGGGGGATGAACCGGGGGGGTGGACCGGGGGGGATGAACCGGGAGGATGAACCGGGGGGATGAACCGGGGGGGATGAACCGGGGGGATGAACCGGAGGGATGTACCGGGGGGGGCTGAGCCGGGGGGGCCGGCGCAGGCAGCGTCACCCTCCTGGCTCCACCCCCCCAAAATCGCAGGGGGCTTCGCTGTGACCCCGGCGCTGGGATGGCAGCGGGACAGTCGCACCGCGGCGGGACGGCGGGACGGTTCCCAGCCGAGGTGGTGGCTGGAGTGCTCCGGGGGGATCCAGCCAGGGCGTTTGCCAGTCGCTTTGTTGCTGCTGGGGGATTTTTTACTTTTTTTTTCAGGATTATTATTATTATTTTGAAAGGGAGGGTGAGGAGAGGGGGCTGACACTGACTATAAAGGCAGAGCTCCCTGGAGCAGCCGGCACTTCCCCGCCACCATGAGCCCTCCCCGGGCCTGACAACCCCAGCCTGCCCCACTGTCGCCGGCTCAAGCTGCCCTGAAGTGTGGCTGTGTGTCCGAAGCTCGTGTTGGGATGGTGTGAGCCCGCAGCCGGTCGTCGCCCTCCCACCACCCCTCACCGGCTCTGGCAGGAGCCGAGCCCGCCAGCCGCTTGGATGATTTGATTTCTGCCCTGTCCGACATCACTCCTGCCCAGATGCAGTGGATAATATTCATGTTGCTGTTATTCATCAGCTCCATGGAAATGCTCCCGCAGAACCGGTGGAAGAAGCAAGGTACAGTGTGCGCAGTGGGCTTGTCCCGCCGGGTCCTGCGGGGTGGCTTTGGGACACCGGGCTGCCTGTCCTGCCTGCACGGAGCAGGAAGGAGTTGTGAAGCAGGGCTGGAGGTGCCAGGAACCTGCATAACCCCAACCCCTCACCTTGAGCCCCCTTGGGAACCGTCTGTGTTCCCCTCTGGGTGCGTGGCTCGGGGCTGGCTTGGGAAGATGCGGAGTGCAGCCCGATGGCACCTCCTGCCCGGTGCCAGCCCTGCCTGTGGGGCTGGCAGGAGACAAGGGACACTGGCTGGCACTGGGACCAGCTCTGCAAATCCCAGCAGAGCCAGACACAGTGGGGATAGCACAAAACGGGCTGATTTTCTGATATTTCCTTTCTCTGTGCAGCACACTAAGTACCTTAGGAGTAAAACCTCCTGGAAGGATGCACAGAGCCACAGCAGGCACTGCCTGTCCCCTGCCCCATCCTTTCCCCAGGAAGAGGCACCAGCTGAGCCACTGCTCAGTGCCTGGGCAAGGGCAGGGTGTGCTGGGACACATGCCCCCTCCGTTGGGCACTGGCTCTTGTCCCTCACCGGGCAGTGCCAGGCAGTGCCAGCTGGCTGTGTGGAGTGGGTCCAGGGCTGGTTCTCAGCTCTGTGCCAGGAATGCCTTGGTTTTGGGGCCAACATGTGCCAGGGTAGGGGCAGGACCTCCCAGAACCAGGGCTCTCAGGGCTGGAGCCCGGAGAGATTCCCTTGAAGTTGTTCCATGTTAAAGGCATGCGGAGGCAGTAGGTGTGTGTGGTGATGTGGGTGGCCAGGCTGGTGACCAAAACACCCCGATGGGAAACAGCCAAGCACCAAGAGGAGCTCCAGCTACCACTGCTTCATGCTGGGTAGCACAATGTTCCAAAGGCCTCAGGTCTTGGCAGCCTGGGGGTCTGGCTGTGGCTTCACACCCCAGACATGTTATACACCTTGGGATAACCTGCACAGAAAAGCCAGCACAGGGTCCAGGAGCCACAAAAGATGCTGCAGCACCCTACAGCCTCCCTGCTGCCACTGGGAGCTCTGGTCTGGGCAGTCCAGTGCCCCCGGGACTCATGGTGCCCTGCAGGACTGGGCGTAGGGTGGGCAGAGATGGGGGATGTCACACCCATGTCCAGCAAGCTCAGGTACCCACTGTTCCCCATGCCCCGTGCCCATCCCAGCTCAGCCCTGCCCTCTGCCATCACCACTGGACAGGAGGAGATGAACCCACGTCTTGTTCCTAATCCCCAAGCCCATGGTTTCTGTTGTTCTCTGTGGTGGCTTCCAGTGTCACTCTTGGTGGCAGAGGTGTGTGTGCCATGCCAGCATCACTGTGGAGTGGAGGAGGACAACCCCACTTCTTCCCCATCGTGGAATTATTTCCAAAGCCAGTGAGAGGAGGGAGGCCCCAGAGCCCATCCAGGGCTCCCCATCTTCTTTGCTCTGGCTGGAAGTGGAAGGAGACCAGCAAAAAAAACCCCTAAATATCAAAAAAAAAATTGGGAAGGGAAAGAGGCTCGTAAATCCACGGGTCTCCAGGGAAGCCACTCCAGCTGCAGCCAGGAACACAAATGTTGTCAGCGTTTGGTAAATATGTAACGGAGACCATAACAACTTAATGGATCCAAGGTGCTTCGTTAGCGCTCCCAGCAGACGCAGCTCTAATGAGGGCTCCTGGCAGTGCTGCCGTCCCAGACAGTGTGTCCCACAGAAGGGTCTGGGATGAGCCAGCTTGGGGACAACTGCATGGCACCACGGCATCGTGGGCTGGTTTGTGCCAGGGACCAGCGCATGGGGCTGCGAGGCACCGCCCGCCATCGTCATCTGACAGAACCCTCTGCCAGCGTTCCCCCAGCTTCCCAGCACCTCTGCCCCAGCCCCACAGCCGTGGGACCCTTCTGATGCAGCTTCTGGGGTCAGAGGGACCAGTGCCAGGCATTCCCCCAGGGCAGCACCCAGCAGCTGGCTCAGGCTTGTAGCAACCTTGTGTAGTGGAAGGTGTCCCTGCCCATGGCAGGGGGTTTGGGGTGATCTTGAAGGTCTCTTCCAACCCAAACCATTCTGTGATTCTGTGGTTCTGTAGAGCCCAGCACCTAAGCATGCTGTACCAGGGCTTCTGGCACAGTCACTGCTGCTCAGGCTGTGGTGCCAGAGCCAAACAGTTCCCGACAAAGGGGCATGGTGAAAGTATTGGATGCCTGCATGCAGGAGTTCAGTGGTCACTTTTGTGGCTTTTCTGTGGGCTCAGAGAGCAGGAGCAGTTGGCCTGGTGGATGTTGTCACCCTGTCCTTGTCCCTGGGAACAGAGGTCACCCACCTCAGGGTCAATCACCCTCCCACAGGCTGGGAGTACAGCACAGGCAGCCAGGGAGGCAGCAGAGGTTCTCGAGCAGATTCTTTTCTCATCTCCTCTTGAGTGCATCCAAAATGCCCTTTGTCCTCTGACACTTAAGAGGCATTAACTGATTAATCCAGGTCAGATCAAATTTCTACCCGCTGACCCAGTGGCTGTTCCGCTTCCCACGGGATGGGCAAGGCTGGCTTGGGGTGTGGCTCAGCCTGTCACCCATGGGCAGTGCTGGGCATAGGGCAAACCCTCAGCCTGGATCTTGGAGGGACGGAGGCCATTAATGTGGACAGCGGTGGGGATTTGAGGAGCAGAGAGAGGTGAGGTGGCATTTGCAGGGAGACAGGACAGCGCTGTCACCCTGGCGTGTCAGAGAGGGGCTATCTGGGGGCTGGAATCCCCCTCAGCACCTGTGCCACAGCCCCTCTCCTCCATTTGTCCCCGCAGCGAGTGCTGGCCTGCTGGAGAACTGCACGGGCTGCGTCCTGTGCTCTGAGGACAACGGCTGCATCACCTGCCACCACCGGCTCTTCCTGCTTATCTGGAGAGACGGCATCCGCCAGTACGGGATGTGCGTGCACACTTGTCCCCCAGGCTACTTTGGTGTGCGGGGTCTGGAGGTCAACAGATGCACAAGTACGTCCCGCGCCAGCCGGGGTCCCCCTGCTCCTACCAGTGTCCCTGCGGTGGCTTCATTCCCGCAGCATCCCCGGTGGCACTGGATCCAGGGGCAGCCGGGTTGGGAGGGCTTCGTCCCCTTTTCCCTTGCCCAGAGCCTCAGCCTGCACCCCGCAGGTTTTGGGTCCCCGGTGGGTGCCGGGGGTGTCCCGGGCTGACCGGCCGTCCCTCCCGGCAGAGTGCAGGTCGCCCAGCTGCGAGAGCTGCTTCAGCAGAGACTTCTGCATGAAGTGCAAGGACAAGTTTTACTTGTACAAGGGCCAGTGCTTTCGGCAGTGTCCCGCCGGCACTGCGGCACAGCCCGGCACCCGCGAGTGCCAAGGTAAGCAGCGCCCGCGCCCCGTGCCCGCCGTCCTCGGGGACATGCCAGGCTCCGAGGGGTCACCAATCCCTTCTGTCCCTGTCCCTGTCCCTGCAGAGACGTGCGAGCCGGGCCCGTGGAGCGAGTGGAGCGCCTGTACCCACGAGAGCCGGACCTGCGGCTGCAGGTGGGGTGTGGAGACGCGGGTGCGGGAGGTGCCCGAGGCTGCCCGAGAGGAGGGCACCGCCTGCCCCGCGCTGCTGGAGACCAGGAGGTGCCGCATGAAGAAGCACTGCCCGGGAGGTGAGCACCGTGGACAGGGGCTGAGGACACCCTCCAAAGTGAGCCCGAGGGGTGCTGCAGGAGGACGATGGCAGCAGGGATCTGGCAGTGGCCGGCCAACCGTGCTGTCATCATCTCGCAAGCATTTTGAAATTCTGGGTAAAGCCGTCATCTCAGGCACATGTGCTGAGCAGCCCTAGGGCTGGCTGCTCCCACCTGGCAGTTCCCGAGACTGCCTGGGACGAGCCAGTGTCCCCTTCCGTGCTGGGCTGGGCTGGGCTGGGCACTGGCACGAACCGCCGTGGTGGGATGAGGCTGCCGAGCTCCAGCTCCCGTTCTGCCACGACGTGAAGGGAGGTTTTCTGTACCACAGCTGTTGGTAGGGAGGGTTGAGACATACAGAGGAGGTTCCTGCAAAATCCTCTGAGCTCCCTAAAAGCTGAAATGCTCGTGGAGCAGGAGGGCATCACCCAGGGGATTGCTGATGGCCAAAGTTTTGGGAGACACCCCAGGGCACAGTGGCCCTCCATGGCTCATCTGGCCAGATGTTCACTCATGTCCCTGCACTTCCCCTCAACCCATCCCCAGGCTGGGGGCTCCCTGGCTCAGGGATCTCCCCACTTTTCCCACAGCAGACACGCTGCAGGGTCTGTCCGGGCGGTGCGTGCGCGGGTGCAGGGCTGGCGATGGGAACCAGGACGTGGCTGATGTCATTTTTGGATGCAGGCGTCTGGACTGAAGCTGCCCTAATAAATCTCCACTTAATAACTGGCAGAAAGGGGGATGCATGAGATACCGATGGGAAGTGCCTGGCAGCAGATCTGAGCCACCGAGGGTTGCGGTTCGGAGCTGCGGGATCACTGCGCCGTGGGATGAGCTGGCCGGCACCGCCAGCGTGGCGGGATCAGAGAGGACAGGGCTCTGAGGGTGGAGAGAAAAAGGATGAAGAAGGGGGGCAGCGGCAGAGGACGTGCGTGCTGGGCGAGGGCCACAGAGCCAGGAGAGAGGTTTCATCCCAGCAGCATCAATCATAAGTAATATTTTCCTGCTGACAGTGCAAAGGAGCTGATTCCCTTCCCCACCCAGGTCTCAACTCACGTCTTTGGGGTGCCAGGTGGCTTCGATTTTGAGGATGTTCTCCTCCCTGCTGGTGTGTGGCAGCTCCAGACCCGCAGAGCTGGTGACAGTTTGATGCAAGAAATTTAATGTGGGAGGACAGGCTGCTCCGGAGCACTGTGTCCTGGAGCACTGTGCCCATGCCCTGCCCTGACTGGCACACAGCAGGTCCCACTGGCAGGGACTGCTGTGCCAGTATTTCAGGGGCACCTCATCTTGTGAAGTTACTGAGAAGGCACTGGCACCCCAGAAAAGTGCTTGGCCTCCTGTCTCTGCCTGCAAGCTGGAAGCTGTGGGGCTACGGTGGTGGGCTTAGGGACTGGCAGGACTCTACTCTTGAGGCTCCTATCTGGGATCAGCTTCAGGGACAGGCCTGTCCCCTGCCCACCAGAAGGAATCCATGAATGCCCCCCAAGCAACCCACTCAGGAGAGAGCAGCCCCTCTGTGTCTCCCACTCCTGGGCAGGCTGTTGGGAGTCCCTGCCACGGCAGAGCGTGTGTCTGCCCTCGCTCCCAGGCTCCTGCCCGCCTGGCCAAGTGCTGGGTTATGGGATCCAGATGCTGGAGGAGGACGAGGAGTTCACTTGATGCATCTGAGACACCCCCAGCCCAGGCGAGCCAGGGCAGGCAGCCGAACCCGACCGTGTGATGAGAGATTTGTGCCACCACTTCTGAGCCATCCAGGCGGCTGGAAGGGAAAAGCTGCCACGCTTGGCTGTGGCACAAACCCCTCACACTGCTGTAAATCTGCCTTGGGTGTCTGTCCCGCTCTCCAGACGCTTGGCGTGCGTGCCGTGCCCTCTCCTTTGTGGGTGGCAACTGTCTGGAGATCAGAGCTGAGAAAAAGGGTTTCAGAGCCAGGCAGGACAAGAACTGGAGCCCTCAGAAGGGACTGGGGACAACAGTGCTGGCACACACAGCACCAGGGACAGTCATGGTCCCTTGTGCCCCTCACACCACTGAGCCCCCCTCCATGTGACTCTAACTGGAGTGGGTGCAGGGGGGCAAGGACCGACAAAGCTGCCCAGTTTTTGGGGCAACCATTCTGATCTGTAGCATGGACTCCCCCTCCCAGTGGAGCCCACAGCTCAGCAGGGTTTATCCCAAATCCCTGTTTCTTTGGTGTCTCAGCACCAGCACCTCGGCCAGCTGGAGGGTGTGTGGCAGCTTCTCGGGGTGAGCAAAGGTTTGGGTCCCAGCAGCCTGACCCTGGCACACTGTCAGGGGGTTGATTGGGGATGCAGCCAGGCTCCACCAGCACGTTGGTTGTGCCACTGGGATGGGGACCATCCTCACATGGAGGGCATCCACAGGGAGAGAGAATCAGCACCTATGTAAGGATGCACTCCAAAGCCACCTTGCTCCCCACCACGCCCAAATCCTCCCAGGGACTGTCTGGATCCCATGGTGGTGGGCAGGTTCCCACACCATGGCAGAGCTGAGCACAGCTGTGCCATGGCTTTGGGGGGTTGGTGCAGCCACTGCCCCTCTCCAGCACCCACAGTCCTTGCTCAGAGAGGAGCTGGGGTGTCTCCAGGCAGCTTTTGCTTGGGTTGAGCTGCCCCACCGCATTCCTAGGGATTTTGGGGTACCAGGTCTGAGAGTCCAGCTATGGGAGATGTGGGGACAACACACCAGAGTCCCTCTGCCCATGCCATCAGCACACCCAGACCCCCCCACAGACCCACACTGCTGTTTCATGACCAGGAGAGGGCTCTGGGGTCCCCAAAATCAGCAACTGGGTCCAGCACTAACACCCTGAGGATATGGGATCAACATCCCATGGATGGGGCTCAGGTCAGATCACGTTTCCTGGCCAATGAGCGAGAGCTTCTTTTCTTCTCCTTTTTCTGTTGCAGAGAAAACCGAACCCAAAAATAAAGGCAAAAAGCGACAGAAGAAGCCGAAGACAGAAAGGCACACGGGCACCTAGTGGGCACCAGCGCGGGAGCTGGGGCACCGTGGAAGGAGCTCCCAGCCAACTCCTGCCACGGTGCTCCAGCCACATCACCCCTGGTTTTCCATCTACCAAAAGAAAAAAAAATTGCACAATTTTCTCTGCCACCCCATCCCCCTTTCCTTTTGAGACAATTTATGGCGTGTAAAACATTTCCTCTTCAGAAAATCTAATTTGCAATGTCCAAAGCAAAGCCCTAGGGCTTGGGGAGGGGGTGGCTCCTTTATTCCTCTGGTCTTCCCTCTTCCCTAGCCTGCTCCATCCCTTCCTCCAGATGGGTGGGATGGGGTTAGACTGGGGTTGGACCCTGCTAATGAAGCTGATGCCTGCCTAGATACTGTTCCCCAGGGCTGGGAGATGCCCTGGCTCCACAGGGTCCTGGTTTTATGAGAGTGCTGAGGGGCACAGTGCACCACTGAGCTGCTCCAGGTGCTGAAAAGTGTCCCCCATCCTCAGCCACAGGAATGGGAAGCAGCAGGACTCCTGGGGTGACCCCACTGGGGACTGTGCCATTGCCCACAGCAGCCTAGCTGGGTGTTCAGCATCCCCACTAGCACAACCCGGGGCCAAATCCTGCTCTCCTGGGGCTCGGAGGGCAGCTGGACCTCCAGACTGACAACCCTTCTTGGGATCATGCCAGCCCAGCACACAGCACCCTCATGGGCCAAATCCTGTCTTCCTCGGGCTCACAGAGAAGCTCAAAGAGCTTCTCTCCCAGCTGGATGTGGGCACAGGAATTTGGGGTGACTATGTCTGTCTAGGACAGGGACATGCACAGTGCAAGTGCAAGCCCAGGAAGGGGATGCTCCTACGTCCTGCATCCCCAAACTGGGATGTGTTGAAAGCAGCTCTGCAACCCCTCCCGGCCATCACCAGGGTGTGACCGTGGGGTGCTGAGCCCGGGCGTGCCAGTCTGTCCCTCCCTGCCGCGCTGTGTGCCCAGGAACAGAGGGCTCTGTCGGGATATATACCGTGTGTGTGCTTAAATCGCTGTCCAGCCGCAGGCAGCTCTGCGTTTGGGCATTGCCGAGGTGCCAACTCCCCGTCCCCACCCTGAGCGTGAGCAGGGAGGGAGAGGCCGGGGCTGGCCGGGGGTGTCGAGGCTGCGGGGGCTGCACAGACCCTTCAGGACGGGAGCGCTGGGTGTCAGCACCGAGCCGGCCCCAGAGCCGGCACAAAGCTCCGGAGCACCTCCTCCCATCGCTTCATGACAAATAAATGGATTAAACCCCCGGCATCGCTCCCGCGTCCCTGTTTTCCCCATTCCCACGAGTTGCTGCCGGAGGGGGTTTGGGATGCTGGCCGCGGCCACGGTGCAATTCTGTATTCCACAGCCCTGCAGCTTGGGTCCCTGTGAGGGGACACCCTGCCCCGGCCCCCCAACACTGGGGCACTGGGGAAAGATTTTATTTCAAGTTTTTGCTTCAAGTACCACCAGCATTGCTCATTGTCTGAGCCAGCACTGGGACGAACGGCCAGTGTGACACTGGGACGGCCATTCCGCAGGATTGGGAACCACCAGGGTTTTTTTTTTCCCGGGTGTTGGAGAAAATCCCCTTCTGCTAAGATGCTTGGACATCCCCTTGGCAGCCTGTCCCCACCACCGGGATTGTCTCCTCCTGGGGGACACAGCCTAGATCCCATCCCAGTCCATGGGCTGCCAGACGTGGTGACCCCCAGCTCTGGTCGGAGTCATCAGCTGCTGACAAAGCCCCGGCCTGGGCTCTGGGCGTGCAAAGCCTGGCTGTGTCCTGCCAAGCTCTGCCTGCTCCTCCTGCTCCCCACGGGCACATCCCATGGCCAGAGCAGCGAAATCCAGGCCTGGCTCCGGCTGGCATTATAAATAGCCGGGACTCGGGAGGGAGCTGTGCTGCCTGGGCTGGGGGTGCCTGGCTGTGGCACATCCCAGGGGTGCTGATCGGGGGGACTCGGGGGGTGCAGGGATGTGGGGTGGGAGGGCTCGGTGCTGCCGTGGCGCTGTCCACCCGGGACGTGCAGGGAGTTCTGCAGAGAACGGCCGGGGGAGGGACGGGGCTGCGTGTGTGACTGTGAGTGTGCGTGTGTGTGAGTGTGTGTGAGTGTGTGTGTGTATGTGAGAGAGAGAGACATTTATAGATCACGTGTGAAACTTGATCTCCCCGCAGTGGACTCAGAGGAAAGAAAAAAGATAGAAGTATTGTTTTTAAACAGATTTTTTTCCTTTGTTTTTCTTTTTTTTTTCTTTTTTTTTTTTTTTTTTTTCTTCTCTCCCCTCTCCCCCTGCGAGCGCTGCCGATAAAAGGCCGGGGCGGCTCAGAGGGAGGAAATGCCGAAATCGCCGCGCTCGGACGCGGCGGCGAGAGCCCACTGACCCATCCCGGCACGGAGCAAACTGCCGGCGCATCCCCCGCCGTGGCACCCCCGGTCCCGCGGGGATCCCCGCAGCAATGCGGGGGCTCAGCCTGGGCCTCGTGGCCCTGAGCTGCGCCACGGCGGCTCTGTGCGCTGCCGGAGCCCAGCGCCGGGCACCGGAGGGCGGCGGCCGGCGGCGCTCCCACCGTGTGCAGCACGGCCGCTGCAGCTACACCTTCGTGCTGCCCGAGGCTGAGCCCCCGCCCTGCCCCGCCGCCCCCGGGGCCGCCCCCGGCCCGGCCGGTGCGCTGCTCCAGCGGGACTCGCCGGTCGGTACCGGCGGGCACGGCGCTGCCCAGCGCCTGCGGCACCTCGAGAGGATCCTGGAGAACAGCACGCGGTGGCTGCTGAAGGTACGGGGTGGGATGTGTGGGATGTGGGAGGGGTGGTGTGGGCAGGGATTTGTGTCCAGCACTCACTCCTACAGCATCCCTGTGGCCCACCTGAGCATCCAGGTCAGCTTTTGTCTGCAGGTGTGCAGCTGAAATCAAGCACTGTCTGCATGGAGGGCACACGTGCTGCAGGTTCTGCGGGTGCTGCAGTTCACTCGCCCAGAGCACTTCCCAGTGAGGCTGTATTCCCTGTCCATCCTTGCCATAGGGTTCCTCATGGTCCTTGCTGGCATAGCTGTGCCAAGCATCCCTTGGGGATCAGCATTCCAAGTTCTGGGCGAGGAGACTGGGAAGGACTTTGGCCAGTGGTAGGGAGAGGGTCCCAAGGGCAGAGGCCACCGAAATCTCTCCAGCTTAATAATTTTCCCACCTACAGGCTATACAAAAGCTCCCAGCACTTGGTGAGGTTGTGTGTGGGACCCATGGTTCCTGGGTGGCCTGTGGGTGGTGTGTGGTGGGAACAGTAGGGTGCCACACCAGAGGGGTTGTGTACCCACAGGGTTGCCACCCCCAGCCCCCACTGGCTCTCCCCGTCCCCAATGCCTGAGGCAGGAAGCAGCATTTCCTTCCTGGAGCCCCCAGCAGCTGAGTGCGACTGCCTGCGTCAGACCCAGGAATAGCTCATCCCAAGGGACACATCCCTGGGGGGTCCTGAACCCCACAGCCATGACAGGAACACTGGGTGCCTGCACTGATAGGAGGGGAAGCAGCTTGTCCCCAGCTGTCACCAACCCAGCAGAGCCACGTGCGTGTCCTGTGGTGTCCCACCAGGCTGTAATGGGACCTGTGTGCCTCTGCAGTCCCATTTCCTGGGTGATGGCCCCGTGCCGAGCCCCTGCAGCACTCGGGGATCAGGATGGGGCCACCACGCTGAGTGGGGGTCCCGGGGATGGCCTGTGCCAGCCATGCTGCTTGGGCAGCCACCCTGGCTGTGGGGGACAGTGCAGGCAGCAGGGACGTGCAGGACATTGTTCCTTGTCCCCTCAGCCATCCTTAGAGAACAAATTCCTCAAGAGCTGGGAAAATGCTGAACCGTGGCTCTGCTGGACACCAGCCCAGAGTGTTGCAGAGGGGTCAGCAGGGCCAGTGACAACCTGGCTGGTGGTGCTGAATCTCTGTCACTGTGGAACCTGCTGGGTCTGCTGGGTGCACAGAAGTCCTGGGGTCCCTGTGCCCTCAGCTCTCTGCCTTGGTGTCCCTGTGCTGTGGGGTCATTGTGCCCTGTGTGCCCAGGCCAGGCTCTTGGGATGGGGGCAGCCTTTGTATGGCCAAGCAAGGCAGGGGACCAGGGTCCCACCACAGGGGCACATGGCCTTGCCCAGAGCAGACAGCCACAGGCAAAGTGGGACTGCACATCTGGGCAGCAGTGGGCAGCAATGCCCCTCACCACAGCCCCAAGGAGCACAAGGCAGTGGAGCACTGGGCAGCCAGTGCCCCATTCCTTCCCCATCCCCATCCTGTTCTATCCATCCATCCCATCACAACAATCCCACCCCAGCCTACCCCATCCCATCCAGCTCCATCCTGCAGCATGGCTCTCTCCTTTTAGAGGCAGCTTGCAGCTATGGTTTTTGCTGTTGTTCTTCAGCTTCCCAAATTTCAGCAGAGCTGCCCAAGAACGCTTGTTTTGGTCAGACTCCAGCCCTGAACAAACAAACGAGGGCTCAAAAGAGGCATTGGGTTCAGGGACAGATTGTAAACAACGTTGCATCCCCGTCTGCTCTGCCCTGGCATGGGGAGCCCTGCAGGATGCTGAGCAATTGTGAGGTCTCCTGGCACCCAAGAGGTTCTCCAGGTCCCCTCAGGCGTCTCCAGCACTGAGCTCCCCTAGGACCCCCATCCATGGCACTGGGGGCTGGCCCACCCTCCCCACTCAGCACCCCTTGGTGGAGACATGGCCAGGACCCAGCACACAAGGGCACATCAGCTGCTTCTGTCTCGGGAGGAATTAATTTTAGTTCAAACACAAACACTTGATGGTGCCGCTGGGTCTGGGGGGGAGCGTGGGTCTCCAGCGAGGCAGTGGCATTTTGGCAGCTCTGAGGTGCCCCTGAGGCACAGGGGACGATGCTGCTCAGCCTGGGATGTGTGAAGCTGTGTGGGGAGCAGGTGAAGGGTTTTCCACCCACCTGTGCCTCAGGGATTCCCGAGCTGCTGCTTGTGAAATGTTTAGAAATGCCAGGGCAGGATAGGAACTGGGGCACAGGGGAGGGATGTGGCTGCAAGAAGGCAGCACAGGGTGATCCAGCTGTGGGCAATGGGATCCCAGCATGGGGACAGCGAGTGGCTGAGTTTCCTCCTGCTCCACTGTGATGTTTTGGGGTGACCAAAACAGCAGCACAGCTCTTCCCACAGCATCTCTGCCCTTATGGTAGAGAAATGAGTCTCTGAGACCAGGAGAGCCCAGCTCACATCAGCACCCATGAAATGAAGGAGGGGCAACCCGGGTTTCCTGTCCTTGGCTCGGAGCCTGCCCCACTTGTGTCCCCTATGCCAGACATGCCTGGGGACACTGTGCCCCACTCCAGCTCCCAGGAAGCTGCTGGGGCCAGGATCCAGGGCTCCATCTCCAGGGCTCTCAGCCTTCCCCGTGCCAGCTTGACCTTTTCTGTGGGTATGTTCTGCCCTCAGCTCACAGATATGTTTATTAAAAAAAAAAAACTTTAAAAAAGCAAGATTAAGAGGGAGAAGAGGCCCCCCCAAGCCCTATGAAGCAACAAGATTAACGACGTGGTTAAAGGGAAACTCTCCAGCAATCCCTCAGCTCGGGGAAATGTTTTCCAGACGCGGCTTTCCGACCTTTCCCTGCTTCCTCCCTGAGAGCATGTTCCTGTGAGGGAAAATCCCCAGGGAAAGGGGTGCAGGCAGTGCTGGCTGGGATGGTCAGCCCTGGGAGCTTCCTGCCCCGAGACCCTCCTGCCCACATGGATGCTCACAGTGGGGTGATGGTTTTGCCACTGCCTGCTGCGGAGGAGGAAGGAGCAGTGAGATTTCATCATGCCAAACAAGTGCAGAGCCCTGTGCCCTGGCCCACTGCCGGCCCACTCCCACGCTGTGTATCCCAACACTGCTGCCTGCCATGCTGCTGAGCATCCTGCTATTCCATGGTGCCAAACATCCCAGCATTGCTGCCTGCCTGCTACCGTGCCAAGCATCCCAGCACCACTGCATTCCCACCATGGCACAGAACATCCCAGCACCACTGCATTCCCACCATGGCACAGAACATCCCAGCACCACTGCATTCCCACCATGGTGCAGAACATCCCGGCACCAACGCATTCCCACCATGGCACAGAACATCCTGGCACCACTGCATTCCCATCATGGTGCAGAACATCCTGGCACTGCTACATTCCCACCATGGCACAGAACATCCCGGCACCACTGCATTCCCACCATGGCACAGAACATCCCAGCACCACTGCATTCCCACCATGGTGCAGAACATC